CCCTCGGCTCCCAGCAGGTCCAGCCACACCGGGTTGCTGCTGTCATAGGGAAAAATCTTTTTTCTAATTTTCTAATTTCTAAAAATTTCTAAATGGAACCTCCCTTTACACATTTGAGCTTAGTCAGGAGATCCCCACTCAGCTGTGTTGGCCTTCTGCCACATCTGCTCAAATTTCTGCATGTGAAATGAGCGTTCCTGTGCTTGGAAGAGGTGGTGCTCCAACACATAGTAGATCAGCAGGGTGCAGTAGAAGACATTTTCAATTTTAATTTAAAAAGCCATGTAGAGATATCTGAATATGGGGGTGAAGGGAAAGTGCTGGTGAAAAAAAAAAAAAAGCTGCTGGGCTTTATCAGTAGGAAGCTTGCATTTTACTAGCCAGATGGGTTTTGTGGAAGGTGCCTTTTCTCTTCGTGTTCCCATAAAGACGCTATTGCAGCTCTGGCCTGGCTTATTGTTAAAATACCTTTCCTGTTTTTTGGGTTTTTTTTAACCTCTTTTCAAGCCTCTGTATACAGTTACAAAGAGCAGAGTTTGGGTACTGGGCAATTGAAGACCAAGATGGAGATCTACCATCCTGCTCCCTCTCCTGAGTGACCCAGTGTTTCCCCAAAAATTTCTTTTACAATTTTAAATTTTCATAATTTTTTACAATTTACTTTGCTGTATTAAATGTGATGCTTTTAGTTGGGAGTCTGTGACAGCCCGTGAATGGCACAGTTTCAGTATAGCTAAATGCTGCCAGCGTGGGCTTTCACTGCAAGCAAGCTGGTGTTCTTTTTTAAACTTGCAGTAGTATGTTCATGTAAAATGATTTGTTGTGCCAAATTATGAAGGCGACACTTAGCATAGTCATGGTCACAATGAGATCTGAAATGCAAGCTAGTAAAGCGCACGTTTTGAGGAATCGACGGAATATTTTCTGTGCTTTTTGCCACTTGGAATCCTGCAAAATGTTGTTTTCAGTCTTGAGTGAGAAGGAAGGAAAAGAAATCAGGAGCCCCATCAAAGAGAAGAAAGAAAGAAGTCAGAATGACAAAGCAGACAAGGACAGATCCTGGGGGAAGACAGGTATATTCATTAATTGTATTTACATTTCAAAGACGAGTTAACTGCAGTGTTCTCAATCATACCCTACACTTGTGTTCCCTGCCACATACCATGAATAATAAATGCACTTTGGATGATAGAGTAAGTGACCCAATAGGCTTCTTCCACTTTTAATTTCATGGGTGATCTTAATTTGAGAGGTCAGTACAAATGCCTATGGTAAGTGACAATTTTAGGCCAGTAATTACTAATTAAGACAGAAGGCAACATGCTGGCTAAGGCACTTTCAAATAGATCACATAACCTTGCAGGAGCTGATTAACTCAAACAGAACACCTCCTTAGGTGATAGCTACCAAATGATACTTGGAACAATTTTTAAAATCAAAAGGGATGAGGGAAAAGGATTTATGAAACTCTTGGCTGAGTTTTCTCTGGAGAAAGACTTTTGATAATAAGTGGGATTAGCTGTTTGCCAATTAGCAGACAATTAGAAGAAAGACATTTTCCCAGTGGGCAAAAATCTTTTATGATAGACTCACACTCATCAAACCTGCTTACGCCAAAGGAGGATAAACACTGAGATGCTCACAGTGTCTTAGCTCTGGTGATGTGAGCAGCACTGGCTGAAGCTACTGTGCCAACTTCACGTGGGCTGTGTGGGACTCGATGTGACAGTGCTTAATGCAGCAAGCACTGAGCAGAGGACCCCAGGCTGTGCTCATGGATCCCAGGATGGCTGTGGATGACTTCCAAGGGCTCCACAAAAGAAATTAGGAATGGCAAACCAACTTTCTGTGGAGAAAATTGAGAAATCTCTGACACCGGTGAATTTTTAGGGACCTGCAAATCGGAAAAAGCGAGAAGACATTGGCTTTATTAATACTAGCATCTGTAAAGGTGATCATCATTGGTAGATCAGAGACAGTGTCAGACATTGGAAGCTTTTCTGAAAGTGTCCCTTGGACAGGTGACACCTTGAATGCCCATAAATTCAGAGTGGTAGATGCTGTAAGGAAGAGCTGAGCTAGGCTGCTGCTTTTTGCCTTTTTTTTCCCTGGCTTAACAATGAATTTTTCTGCCTGTTTCCTATAAAATAGGGATATGTAGGCAGCACTGCTTGGCCAAAATGTGGAGTGGGGGAAGCATCTGTCTGATTTTGCTTTTGTTTGTGCTCCTCTTTTCCATCTTTGGAACTCAAATGATTCCTACATACCTCCACAAGCCACGATGAGATGAGCAGGTGCAGAACATGAGCCCTCTAATCAAAATAGTTGCTCAAGGTGCATTTCATTATTTGTCCTCTAAAGGGCCTATTTCTTGCTATTAACTCCACAGGCAATATGGAGCACAAAGCTAGACTTACAGATCTGCATTCTAGATGCCTAAAGGAGGCCAGAAAATTGTAATCCAGCTCAAAAAAGCAGAGAGCACAAGAGGAAAACAAATTAGGACCAAGCACAGCTCAGGAGTGCAGAGCATTTCCCTGCTATATCCCTTGGCACAAGGCAGTGCCTACCCTGACGACTACAAATGCAGACTGTGATGTAGAAATGAAGGAATGAACCTAGTCCTGGTTTTGCTACTGGCATCCAGATCAAAATGGGAATTTCAAATAGAGTTTACGGCTCTGTAACATTTGCAACATGCATAAATGTGAGCAAGTATTAACACATGATGCTTCCAACCAAATCCATGTTTTACTTTCTTTCCCTGCACAGTTAGGGCTTCATCCTGTGGCAGCTTCATTTGCAAGAGGCTGAATTTGCTCTCATCTCAGGAAGCACTCAGAGCCCTCCAGGGCCAGCCATCATGAGTGGAAGCCATCGTGGGTGGAAGCAGGTCTAACCCATGCCTTAGGCAGCACTTTGCTACACAAGAAGTGGGCCTTCACAGGTTGTTTCATTCCAAACAAGGACATTAACTCCTTGTTGAAGGGGAGGGTTGCTTTCAGAGCCGCTGACAGTTGTCCAGAGATTAAAATTCCTTCCTAGTTAGGCTAGTACTGTCCCTCTGACATGGATCTTGTTTGGGAACGCTTGACCCGGAGCAGGCAGACCAGGGGTGTCAGCTTTAGGAGAAATCTAGTGGTGTGTCATTGCACCCTAGGGAAGAACTGGAGATGATGAGCACCTTTTGCGCAGGGAATGCTGGAGCAGGCTAAACCCTTCCAAGAGGACCAGTCAGGTTCAGTTAAAATACCTGTGTTCGTTTCCAAGAAAACTAAACATCAGGTGTGCTTGAGGGCAAGGACTGGCAGCTACTATCAAAGGCATTTTTCTGGTGCGTTGTGTGGGTTAACAGCCTGTTGAACCGTAGGAGCAGACATGATGGAGAGGCTCAGAGCTGCAACATGGTGCTGCTGCTTAGCGCAACCTGAAGCTGCGCTGAAAAATAGGGAGATGCTGTCAAGTTCTTCTGGCAATGGAAAAAAGTGTACAAAATGAAGGGAATGGTGTCGTCAGAGCTGAACGGCAGCAATATTCTGTGACTGAAAATTATTTTCTCCACTTGCACAACGATACTAACATTTAGGGGAAAAAAAGGAGCACTGCAGAGGCAGTCATTACAGATGGAGGAGACTGATTAGCCCTTCTAGCTTTTCCACCTGAAAATACAAGATGTACTATGATACCACCAACATGAACTCCATGGGAGGAAGTAAAGGAAATGTGATTACAGATATTATATCCAAATTGAATTAAAGCTGCATTAAAAACCTCAGATTACTGCACAGTTCCATGCTACGTTTGAAAACATGATATGCATCTGCTACCGACAGACACTAAAGAACATGCAGGGGCTTATTTCTCAGAAAACTAGTTTGATCGCTGGCTTGCTGATTCACAAATCCACAGAAACAAGGCAGGAAGTAAAATTACAGACAGACCTCCCTAGCACATAAATAATCATCAGCAAAGCAGCCGTGTTGCTTGGGATTTTTGTTTGGTGTTCTACCAAATATTTACATTGCAACCTTAAGCAAAGTTAATTACCTCACTTCTTTATCTATAAAAATCGGATAATGAATCTGATCTTCTTTGCAAAAGGCGAATATGTAGATAAAAGCATTAGTATTGCACGCTGATGTTAACAAATATTTTCTCAGTTGACTTGCGGTCACTGGAACACTTTTCTGTGCTATGCTCATTCACCGTACAGATTTAAATGAGATATTACATCCTTCTGACTCTTCAGTTTTGCTGACAGGGAGAAAGAGTGATCCATGCTTAAGCATACATGCAAAGCTCACTTTTAAAACTGTATTTTGGGGGGGTCATGTAGTGGCATATACGGAGGCAAATGTCTCTTTGCTTTCTCAGCTGTGACTGCTACAAGGCAATGAAAAAGATCTGTAGACTATGACAACGTGATGAGTTACTGCCTCTGCCATGAGGGCTCTATACACCTAGTAATTCTCATAAAAGACTGCCTCATGTGACTAGAAGTATCATACAGGCTGACAAAGTGAACTGTAGTAAAATAGTGCATCTTTCAATTACTTCCTGTGTTATGTTACATCAAGTGGCAGAGTACAATACATTTTAAAACAAAAAGCTGACATGAATGATTATACAGTAATAAACAAATAACAAAGACTTTTAATGCACATGTAAAAAATAATCCAGCAATCACCTTCCAACTGTATTTTACCCATTTTCAAGCAACAAAACACAGCTGGCAGTTGTTTATTAAAAGGGACCAGTGTGCTAAAATGTGCTCAGTCTGAAATAATAACTCTAGAAAAAAAAATTTCAATAAAGATGTATTTTAAGAACAAAATCAAAGAAAACAAAGTCACAGAACTTGAGAGTTTCAAAGCACTCTCATCCTCATATGTCCCCCTCTCCTCCAAAACAAACTCAAGACTATAAAAAGCTTCAGGAAAGATTTTCAAAGGCGCTGAGCTTTCAAAAGGAAGGAAGCCCTGAAGTATTCTCTGTGCATTTCAATCAGGAAATTTCCCCTGTATCTTCCACACTTCAGTCTTCTCTGTGATCACGGACCAATTGGCATGGTCAAAGTATGAGTGAGTAATATGTAGCTCAGGAATGTGACGCTCTATCAGCTCAGCCAGCTCCCCTTCTTTAAAAATGTAGTAGTACCCCAACCACGCCCCACCAGGACCCATCTGCTGTCTTCTCTGCATGGTCAGGGTGCACTCATTGACTTCTTTCTGTGGAGAAGAGCCTCTTTTCCTTTTGTTCTGAGGTTGGCAGAAAGCTCCTTGTTTCGGGTGACGGTCGATTTTAAGTTGTTGTCTGACAGCTAATTCTTTCTGATGTGAAATCAGGTCAGGTAAACAGACTCCGCTGCAACCATGAATAGAATCTGCAGCCATAGGGAGCTGTACAGTTGCTTGCCCTAATTCTAAATAGCAACTTCTGAAAGCCTTCAAGCAGCGTGACATGGGCAGTGCAGGTTTAACAGCCACTTCAAAAGCTGTTGTATTTGCAAAACTCTGTTTGCAATGTAGAAAAAAGTCAGAAGTGCATTTCAGAAAGCCATACTCTCTGGTTTTTTTCAGCTTTTTTTTTCTGTTTAATTCATTCAGCTGAACACTGTAATTGCAGTATCTAATGAGCTCTTCTTGGTGCCACTGATCACCCACATCTAACATCGAGTCAAGTGATCTTGAGAACAGAGACCATCTCAGAGATTTCTCTAACACCGTGCACGGTGCTTTGTTCTCCCCTCCACAGGATGAGCTCCTTGCTGTCCTGTGTACCTCTGAAGTCCCATCCAACTTACGACTGGGCTGGTTCAAAGCCAGCTCTTTGTCCTTGTGAGGAATTGATTTTTGTACTCCACATGAGCAAGGCTCACCTGAGGAGCAGGAAGGGGGTGAAGGATTCCAAGGAACAAAGCCGTCTTGCTTTTCAAATCTTCTCTGGTTTTGCTCCATTGCCCACAAATATATCATTATCTGGCCTCCTACTCTCAAGATGCAAGCCATCTCTTTTATTGCTCGCATGCGCCTCTCTCCTGTTGAAAAATGGTGAATCACTAGAACAGAACAGATAAGGTGAATAAGTGTCCCTCGAGGCACTAATGAATACAGAGTATAAGGACAAGGACTGGCTCTGACATACTGGCAGCCGGTGGTTTGCACCACAGGAATACATCATTCATCTTGCATTGTGCTACACATTATTGTACTATCTCCAACATGTGAAAAGAGTTCATAACTGACTTATTTTAAAAACACAGCAGAATTTAGAAATATTGAAACAAGTGACATCTTTCAGATCGGAAATAAACAACACAACAGTCTTGGTTTCTCAGTGAAAAGCTACCACTTGGTCAGTGGCAAAGCAACCTGGCCCTTTTTTACCCTCACCTAATGCTCATCTGCAGCCTGAAAGAAGCACTTCTGAAAGACCGAAGCCACACATGGTCTTTGCAACAACTGTGCTAGTGATCCTGCTGATGATACCCATTAAAAATGGACTAGGTTAAAACTGCCTCTCCATTTTTCCTCCTTTACTGACAGACGTCAGTAACAGAGCAGGAAAAATGAACAGTCACAGCCTGGGATGCATTTAAATCATGAACTTATGGGTGAAAGACACTTAGTCAATTAGCATTTGTCTACTTCTGCTATCAACAAGCATATATCATGAAAACAAATAAATAGATAATCTCACTCTTGCTTGATAAAGAATGCCTCATTGTTATGATGGCAAAACTCAAGCAGCACAGCTTTGCTTTAGTCAGAACTGCATTTACATTTGACTCTCATTTCAATAAAAATTTTTGCCCCAAAAAAAGGGCAACTGGTCTCCGGATTTGGCAGGAATTTGCCGAACAGCAGCTCTGCGGGTTGGCTCCTGCTGTCAGACTGCGCAGCTCTAGAGCAATTCAAAACAGACGTCGAGGCTGATCAGTCTTGGTGCACAGCAGGGACTTCAGCAAAGTTTCAGCTACATCAAATGAATGTTACATGAGAAACAAGAATAGGAAACAATCCTGGAATAGTGCTGGAAAGGAAAGGGCACATATTAAAGATGCTGAAAATGAAAAGCAATAGAACTAGTGATATTTATCCAACCTTGTATTTCCTCAGTGAAAATGCCTGTGCCAGCTGGGACAGATATTTCTACACATACCACTTCAGGTTACAATGATAAACCAGTTTTTGGTTAAGCTGTTGAGGTGTTGGTTTCCACAGAAAAATAACAGATCTTTTAAGGAAAAAAAGATGCAAGCTTTTGATTCTTTCTAGAAATGTTAAGTATAGAAAATGCTAGCAGAAGCTCTGTATCTGCAGCCTTTCTGCGTCTGTCAGGGCAGCCATTCACCATCACATCCATTTTGTTGCAGAAAAAGAGACACTTTACAATTAAAAGAATAACAGCATGCAATCCAGCTGATAGGAAAACACTCTCCCTGCAATGAATGATGCATTCAGAGCCTCGGCAGCAATGTGAGGATCAAAAGGCAAGCTTTGAAGGAATAGGGTCTTTTAACATTTAGTTATTCAGCTTCTCTGCCTGTAGATGTCACTTGTTTGAGATGAACAGAAATCAATTCCAAAAGCTCAGGTCTTCTAGCACTAGTTGAGACATTAACATTGAAATATTATGGCCTTTTTAATTAAAAAGACATCAAGTTTCATTTAAGAAATTACAGTGTATTAATAAAATCTCACACTGAGCAAAACCTTAAGTGTTTTCAAGATATATTTGTCAGATAATTTTAAAAGCTATGGATGATGTATTGCATTTAAAAATGCAAAACTCAAGGAAACAGAGCATCTGCATGGGACAACATCACACTATCCTGAAATCACAGATTATCGTGCAAATTATTGCACACAATTGTTTTTAATCAAAGCCAAACCTGTCAGGCTCCAAGATCACCAGGTAGCCACATTCACCTAAAGCAGGCGGCTATAAAAAAATCATTTCTTTCTTTTCCTTGATGTAAAACTCCTTGTATGTTGAAACTGTTTAAACTGAACAATCTGTACAGTGCAGTAAAGGTGCCGTTTCAGAGATGGAGTGGCTCACGTTAGCTGGCAGTGATGCACAAACACTCGCCAAGGGCCTGATTGCAGCCCAGTAGCGACATAAGCCTGCTTGCCACCCCTCCGGTGGAAATGGCTCAAATCTGCTTCTCCTGCAGCTCCTCTCATACTGACAACTAAGATGGCACTAGGGGTGATATTTCATAGGATGGTTTACATTGGAAGGGACCTTCAAAGATCATCTAGTCCAACCTTCCTGCCATGGGCAGGGACACCTGCCACTAGATTGGGTGGAAAGCCCCATCCAACCTGGCCTTGAACACCCCCAATGATGGGGCATCAGCAAGTTCTCTGGGCAGCCTGTTCCAGTGTCTCACCACCCTCATCATAACAAATTTCTTCCTAATATCTAATCTAAATCCACCCTCTTTCAGTTTAAAACCATTACCCCTGCCCTGTCACTACAGGGCCTGGTAAAAAGTCTCTCTCCACCTTTCTTACAAGCCCCCTTTAAGCACTGAAAGACTGCAATAAGGTCTCCCTGGAGTCTTTCAGTGCTACACCCCTAGAAAAATCTTTCACCAGCTGTTCGACGTATTTTAAGGTGATTTCCCACCATCCAAACACTACAAATAAAAGGGTCCAGATGCTTGAAAGTGCATTTGTCATAACGACTGGTACTTTAAATGAAAATTAGTTTTGTCCTAAATTACAGTAAATACAGAAGCTTGCAGGTGTTGAAAACAATATCAAGGCAGAGGAAATTCATCCTGTGTCAGAGCAAACATCCCTCCAGCGCGGGGCTGTGGCAGCAGTCAGCACCAGATGTTTGGGAAAGAAAGAAGGGAAGCATAGTGATGCTCTCTCCCCTCACCTCCTATGGTCAGCAGCCTAAGAGCTTCCTCAGTCACAGGCCAGAGCTTGTATCGAATAGCCCGTGATGGATCTGTCCTCCATGGATACTTTCTTGGACTTCTGATTACACAAATTCACATGCCAAAGGAATTTGCAATTTAATTCTATATTTTTTAGAAAAATGGTTTCTTCTGTTTTAAGTCTTTTCCTGTGGTTCTCCTGTTGTAAGAAACCACAGAAATTTACTCCCTATTCACTAATTTAATGTCATTTGTGGGTTCCAGGATGCTAACCTCCTCTCCCTCAGGAGCAGTATGATGTATACACTTCTTTTATGATACTTTTATGATGATACTCTTTTTTTCTTAGGTGAAGAGCCCTAGCCCATTAATCTATCCTCATACATAAACAATTTGTACCTTTGATGATTATAAGGACCTTTACTAGTTCATCTATATCCTTCTAGAGATGGAGAAAACCTGAATTTCATGCAGTATATCTTCTACCATTCTTCTGGATTTTAATTTTTGTTCTTAATATTTGAATACTTTTTTGGCCAGGTTTGAACACTGAGCTAATATTTTTCAGGGCAATGAAAATGAGTCTGACAATGACTTCAGTATCTCTTTCCTGAACAAGAATAGAGGGTACCACTGTGCCTGTACACTTAGTTATATTTTTCTGTGCACATTACCTAGCATTTATCCACAAGTACTTTTCTGCAATTTTGCACCCAGTCATTAGTTTCACATGAGATTTTTTTTGCAACTCTTTGCAGTCAGTAATCCTGAATAACTCTATGTCACCAGCAAACTTTATCACTAGCCTATTCACTCCATGTGTAATTATAAATTACATAGGAATCTGTTGAACAGTGGCCTTTTTATAGGTGCCATACACCTACACTAAGCATTCAACATTGCGTCTTTCAGCACTTTCCATACTCATCTGCTAGCATTTTACCCTTCTGGCTTTCCCCTTCAATTTTCCTTAAGAGTTTTTTCCTTTTTGGCAGTAAACTTTTATGCAGTGGATTTTTGAAAGCATTTTTGTTCCTAGCAGGAGGTTCGATTATGGTCACATTAAATTCAGTGAGACAATGTGGTTCTTGCACAATTACTTATTGATGTGGGCCTGATGCACCGTTTCAGACTAATAAGAGTTTTTTCCCTTTTGTGGGTTCTCAGATTAATCTTTCCAAGAGGCTTCGTGCCCCTGTGTATCATTTACCCAACCTACATATGGATAATTGCGGTTTCTCAATATTATGTTTTCTGCCCTCACAGCCCTCGCAATCTCTCTTAATAATCTGTGGTCACTTTCCCCACGTTTATCGGACAGTTAGTGATACATCCTTATTATTACACTGCTCTCCTCTGTAGCTGCCTACCTACTATCATTTCTTTCAGAAGTTTATCCTCATGCTTTTTTGCACAGAAGAATATTCAGAGCTTTTTAGCTGTTATGCAGCCCTTGTAACAAACGCTAGAAAAAACCCTTAAGTTCACTACAAAAAGGGCTTTTATGAACATTGTATCATTATCATACTAACCAACACCATGCAATGGTGATTGGGACAGGTAGGACCACATTCAGTTTTTTAAACATCCAAACAAACCATTGCAAAAAAGAAATCTAAGCACAAAAACATTTCTTTGGGCTGAGCACAGGTGCTTGTCCAAAACCACTGACAGCTCTTTGCAGCAGCAAGGCCTTGCTTCATAGATTAGCAGTTGTTATGAATCAAGCATTCCTTTTCATTTTGGCCATACATTCCCCTAGCGTACCTAAAAGTCAATCCAAATTAATTTTGTGCCATGTATTGCTCATTCCCACCACTTCTGTTTAAATTGAGGACCGAAACATTTTCCATAACTGAAAAAGACATAATGCAATTTTAGATTTCAAACGGAGGGGGCGAGGAGGAAGGGAGAACATTTCAAAGATTCTTCTCTTCTTCATTTCATAAGAATATAATTAATTGCTCCTTCTCTTAATTTAATACTGTGACTAATCCTACTAAAAGGGATTATTTAGAACAAGCAGACAATGCAAGATACATTTTTGTGCCATTCAGCTGTCTTCAGAGAACAAAACTGAAAGCATCAACAACTTTGTCTGAATTTTTTTTTGAGAAGTCATTTTCAAAATGAGTATTTTAGGTCAGTGATTCAATTTAAGC